AGGAGGGAGGGGGAGAGGGAGAAGGAGGGGAGAAGAGGGGGAGCGGGAGAAGGAAATATTAATGATGAGAATCATTGATTGGCTGCCTCCTGCCCGCCCCCTACTGGGGATGGAGCCCACAACCCGGGCATGTGCCCTTGACTGGAATCGAACCTGGGACCTTTCAGTCCATGGGCTGACACTCTATCCACCGAGCCACACCAGCTGGGGCACATTTCTCTGTGGTTTTTGTGTGTTTTTTTGCCCTTTCCCCCCAGGAATGTGGCGCCAAGTATTGCTAAGGTTATCGGTGCATCATGGAGCTCAAACAGCCATAAAAGCGATCAAGGTCTGATTTCTCCGTTGCTGCTGAGCCGACCTAAGTCACCCGGCTGGTGGATGACACAGGCGGCTCTGGACCTCATACTTCTTGTTTCCTGGTTCAGTTATGCTCGCTCCCCACCCACCCTTTTTTTCCCTGTAAAGCGCTGCTTCTGACAAATATTGGAACAAAAGAAATGAACTGCAAGGGCACAGAGACTTCTCTCGGCGGAGATTTTTAATAAAAGGAGTTAGAATTACAGAAACTGAACTGCGCCCTTCTTTTGTACCTGGGGAATTCCGTCTCTCCAGGCAGCCAGGGGTAGGAAGCACAGGAGGTATTAGGAATACAGAAATAAACACCGAGTCCTTTTCCATGGAGGCACAATGAGTCTGCAGGGCGTGGGTGTGTGAAGGTCATGCGAACAGGTCATTATAATACAGCGCGTTGTACCAGCGCAGAACGGGACGGGGGTGGGGCGGACAGAGGTCATGGGAGTACAGGGACCACAGCATTCGCCTGCCTGGTAGCATCAGGGGACCCGTGCCCTTACGGGTGAGCTGCATAATCCCATAGGCATGTGGTCCTATAGTGACACCTTGCTCTCAAAGAAACCTCAGTCCCAAATGCAAAAACTATTTGAAGAGTGACTTGAATCTTTCTTTTCTTTCTTTATTTTCTTAAAAAAATATTTTGATGTGAGAGAGACACATCCATTGATTGCCTCTGCACACACCCAGACCAGAGCCTGGGATAGAGCCTGCAACCGGGGTACATGCCCTTCACTGGGCTGGAACCCGGGACCCTTCAGTCCATGGGCTGACACTCTATCCACCGAGCCACACCAGCTGGTGCACATTTCTATGTGGTTTTTGTGTGTTTTTTTGCCCTTTCCCCCCAGGAATGTGGCTCAACCACTGAGCCACGCCGGCCGGGCTTGACTCTTTCTTGAGAAGACATAGAAGAGGAGATATTAAAACGATAAGACACATCCAAACCACCTTAGACTTGATTTTCCCGTCTTTCTTCGTGTGAGCAGCCTTCACCTACATAAGTAGAGTTTTGCAATCATCCCGATGCTCAACCACTGAGCCACGGTGGCCGGGCTTGACTCTGTCTTGAGAAGACATAGAAGAGGGGATATTAAAACGATAAGACACAGCCAAACCACCTTAGACTTGATTTTTCCCGTCTTTTTTCGTGTGAGCAGCCTTCACCTACATTAGTAGAGTTTTGCAATCATCCTACCTCAACACGAACCCTCAAAACTCGATGACGTATAGATTGGGACTAGCTCCTTTCCGCTTCCCCCTTTGGCCCGGTCACTCCAGGGAAAGAAAGATCTAGAATCCTTCCTCCTTCCAGGGTCGGTCGGAGGGGGTGGGGAGGATGTAGAAACCTGTCGTTGAGGAGCTTTGCTTATACCCGATCACGTGTTTTTTTTATTCTCACTTATTTATTTTCAATATGTTTATATTGACTGCAGAGAGGAAAGGAGAGGGAGAGAGAGAGGGAAACATCAATGATGAGAGAGAATCATTGATCAGCTGCCTCCTTCATGCCCCACACTGGGGATCGAGCCCACAACCCGGGCCCTGATCAAGAATCGAACCTTGACCTCCAGCTTCATAGGTCGATGCTTAACCACTGAACCACACCAGCTGGGCTATTACATGCATTTTTTACTTGACATTTTCAACTTAAAAAGGATGAAAGACATAACCCCATAGTAAGTTCAGGAGCATATGCAGTACTGAGATAGAAAAGCCCAGCTGTGACCTAAAAGAAATTTAAGGGGATGAGGACACAC